ACCCTAAACCCTAAGCCCTTTCAGGGGGATGCAGCCGCCGTGTGAAGGACCTGCCGCAGTGCAGGCCTCCTGGGGTGTACATCTTAGGATGAAGCGGTGATTGGGTGATTTGGTATTGTTGTGATTTCGGACCGGGTGTGTAGATTTAAGGTTTCGAGACTTGAGATGTTGTGGATTTCAGGATTCAGGAATGAGGGAGCAAGAGAAGATCCTGCATACTAAACACATTGAAAGGGCCCGTGCTATTCAGAGGCGACCGTGTGCCCTCAGGCTTGGACTATGCTCGGGCTTCCTTCAATACGAGCTTATGACTATCCGGATGAGGCTTATTATTCATGTCAATGTCAACAGCATTCCTGCTCCACTGCTGCCTGCTGGCTGCTTCGACTGCAATTGCTACCGTGCCACGACGACGACGATGTTGACGGCTGCCATTCGCGCTTTCCTATACGCCCGCACCCCTGAACCCTTGCAAAATCCCACAGCACCTGAAGCCGCGTCCAAAACCGTGACTTAAAACCTCTAAACTCTAAACTCCAAGCCACCCTAAATCCTTAGGCCCGCAACCCTTAACCACCCTACCTCCTACCGGTACAACTCTATAAATCGTTAAGCCCCTAAACCTGCGCAGTCAACCACCCTGAACCTGTAAAGCTGAAACCCTAAATCTTAAAGCTGGGTATAGAAGCCCGGTGCCCTAGCCAAGGTCTACCCCTAGGGTCGCCTAGACCCTAGGCAAGGTCCTAGCCTAGGTCGACCCTAGCCTAGAGTCGGAGCTTCTATATGTAAAGCTGAAACTCCTAATAGGGCCTTAATAATTAGAATAGGGTTTGGGGTATATTATACTAGAATAATAAGGAACCCCAAAACCTTATTCTAATTATTAAGGCCCCTGCATCAAACGGCAAGCCGCAGCAGGTGACCTTGAAGGACAGAGTCGTCAGAGCCTCGGTCTCCGCCAGGCTGCAATGATGAGTCTTAGGTTTTGCATCTTTCAAGTAATTTGAAGCTTAAGGGACTACCACTCTTATGGTATTACAGGTCCTTGTTAATATACTGTTAGGTACTTATATGCCCCGAAACCCTGTTCTAGTTATGAAGTCGCCTGACCTGCTTTCGCCTTTTGGATGTCAGACGTGATGCTTTGGCGGGCTGCCTTTCTGGGGTCTATATCCTTGAGTTTCAGGGCAGGGGCCAGGTATATCTGAACCCCAAGAGACCTATCCTTTCAAGAAAGAAAAAGGGAAATCCTAAGATGTAGGTTTTGTTTCTGGCTTAGGTATCAGCCATGACTTAGTCCCGGGATTGGGGCTTGTCGTAGCTTCAGAGCTGTGAGTAGGTGCACAACTGCTTCCGACGCTGCGCTTTTTGGCATTTCTGACCTGCCAAATTACAGCTCTCAAGGCGGCTTTAGGATCTTGCCTGAAGTACTTTGTCAAGGATTATAATAATATGCACACAGCCACTCCAAACCCGCCCAAGAGGTGATTGTTTGATTAGGGCCCGGTTTTCTAGCACACCTGATCAAGAGTAGACCTACCCACCCAAAAAGAAAGCCTGCCATAATTTAGAACCAAAAAGGAACCCTGCCATAATTTAGAACACAACCCACATGGTCGCCGTGCGTGGCCCGGACTGGCGCAGACAGCGGCTTCGAAAGCTCTGCAGGCAACACCGCAGGCGAAAGGCCTCACGGGTGCGAGAGCGGTGGACGGAGAGCCTGGAGCTTGTCGGAGACTTGGCACCGCAAGGCGTCGACTGGAGCTACCCACTCTTTCAGGAGGACTGGCGCTGCTTTGCAGGCTACTTGCCGGAAGCCTTGTCTTATAAAACCCGAGCTCGATTTTTCCGGCTGGTGCACGAGGGGACGGAGTGGTTGCAGCCCAGCGGCCGTTGGGGACCCCTGCCCCTCAAGACCGCATGGATGTGCAGAAGCCCCTGTGCTTGCAAGTATCGCTATGGCGGCGCTGAGGTGTTGCCCGCACCCTTTCCAGACTGGATGGAAGAGGTGATGTCGGTATGCATGCCGCTTTGCGGCCTCCCGTCACACCAGTGGCCCAACAGCTGCAACTCGGACTTGTTCATCCAGACAGACTTTCGCCATTTTGGCAGTGCGTATAAGGTGCACTCTGTTGACTTTGCATTTGCACCTCAGGCAATCTGAACTTGTACATGGATGGCCAGCATTCTGTGGGCTGGCATGCAGACAACGAAGCCTTGTTCCAGGGCAAGGTGAGACCTGAGCTTATCTTAGTAGCTGGTATCAGCTAAACCTTGAAGAGTTTTGGGGTTTTATAGAATCTGGATAATCTTACCCTTTATGTAACTTTAAGGAGATTTATACAATCTTTCCATCATTTTGAACAGGTTAGCCTTGTTTTGGGTGAGGGTACTTAGTCCCTAAGTGGCAAAGTTCCTAGTACAGGGAGCGCCGGAAGTCGGCACGCAAGAATATAGCGACTGAGCAGGAGCGCCGTAGGGTTACTTGGGTACCATATAGGGTTTTGAATATCCAGTACCGGCAGTATACCCTTATATGGTCCCTTTCTCCTGAAAACCCAAAGCTCAGCTTACCCCAAAACCTTACGTAGAACCCACAGGTGAGGGACTGTCGGGTCATTTCGCTAAACCCTAAACCCTAAACCCTAAACCCTTACGTAGAACCCACAGGTGAGGGACTGTCGGATCATTTCACTATAACCCTAAACCCTAAACCCTAGAACCCACAGGTGAGGGACTGTCGGATCATTTCGCTTTCCTTGGGGCAGAGCCGGCGCTTCGAGCTCCAGTGCGACCAAGACTTTCATCGCCTTTGCCTCAGCGATGGCGACCTCTGCACGATGGAGGGCATGACCCAGAAGCATTACAAGCATCGCGTGCCAAAGGAGCTGGGGATGTATACTAACTATCTATCTATCTATCTATCTATCTATCTATCTATGTATCTATGTATCTATCTATCTAGGGCTTATATGGGGTTTACAGGGCTTATAGGGCTTTGGGCTGCTATAGGGCTTACAAGCATTACAAACATCGCGTGCCGAAGGAGATGGGAAGGAAGGTCGGCGCCCGAATCAACCTCACCTGGCGATGGATCGTCCAGCATTGCGACTGGGTTCTTGTTAAGGGGCATAATTTAAGTTACCATAATGAAGAAACCGTATCATTTACTATAGATCCCTGCTATGCTTAACTTGAATTAAGTTTTCTTAACAAGAACCCAGGCGACTGTCCGTGCGCAGCTCCCGAAGCCAATCTGTCCGTCGCCCGGAAGCGAAGCAACCGGGACGTGGAAGCGGCAGAGACTCTTCAAGAAGCAGAGCGGCCGGTGAGGAGGCGCCTGGCCGCCACGCAGCCTCCGCCAAAATGGCTGAGCCCAGACCTCCCAAAGAGAAAAAAGAGCTGTTGCCATGTGGAACCACAAGCGAAGTTCCTCCCGTTCTCCGCTTCACTCAAACCTCTACTCCAAGCTTTGCAAAGATCCCGAAGCACACGAAGGAAACACACCGAAAACTTCCGGACACATAACGGTACACACTCAGATGTCAGACACAGCCGCACGCCTCGGCAAACAAGACCAGCAACCAGCGCCTTCACTCCACTCTTCTCATGCTGCTTGGATGGGGGATTTAGTAACTAGGGTTATAAGTATGTATCTTTGTTGGGGTTGGAACTACATAATTATAGTTAATTACAGCTACAGTCTAATCAACTATATAGCTACTCTACTTATATTCCTATTTGCTAAGTTTCCTGGTTCTTTAGGTGGAGCCGGACCTTCTCAAACGAAGCAGAGCCCCCCCGTGGGCTTATGTTGTTTTTAGGGCTCTCCAACCAAGGCACTCGGGTGCCCGGCCTCTGCAACCTAGGAGTCGAACTCCGATCCCAACTTAGTACGAACCTCCCCTATATATATATATATATATAGTTCCATAAGTTCTAAGTAGAAGTGTAGTAAAAAGATGAGATACCCTTCTGAGCCCTATTCTGATCTTTAAGGCCCCATAATTGTTGTTCAAGGCTTTGAAGTTTTAAGCTGAACCTTCTCTCCACGGCATCTCTGAGAACATTTCTGTTGTAGGGAACCCTTATGTTTGAGAGAGACTAGCGGCGTGACGGTATCGGCGTTTGGGCTTGTTGGGGTCGGTTGAAGGACGGCCGGAACACAGTGAGCAGGCTCATCGTGCCGTCAAAGGGTCAAAAGCGGCTCCTTGCAGCCGTGACAACTTCCAAGAGACTCTCCAGTCGCCAAAACAAATGCAAAAACATAGAACCGAGATTGATTAATGCTTAATAATTACTGTGTTTCTGGGCTCCTTACCATGAATTTCGTATCTTATTTATAGTACAGTATACCCCACAAGCCCTATGACTAAGTCTCCTACAGTACCCTTCGCCAAAACATCGTCAGCCAACCAGGTCCAGATGGATGTTTCCAGGGTCGCGCACCCTGATGAGTAGAGACTTCGACGCGCGAAGTACGCTGTAGGGCTTAGGGCTTGGGACTCAACTGGTTTAGGGTTTAGGGTTTAGGGTTTAGGGCTTGGGACTGAGCTGGTTTCGGGTTGCAGGTTCCTTCGGTGTCGTAGCCAAAGTCAGGTAACTATGTCCGGCCAGAAAGGTAGAAACAGCGGGTGAGTGGTCTGTTGCTTCCAAAATGTCAAGATCCGTTCATGTGTCCGGGGATCGTTTCCACATAGTTAACACAGTTGTGGCCCCGATTTTGGTAATCCAGAATTAAAGTCGGTGCTTCGGGCTTGCGCTGGGCGAACGGACATAACTACGGTGGTCAGTCTAGGCACTTACTGTCGACCCTAGAGACACCCAAAGCCCTACTTACACCATCTTACACCCAAACACCAGATCTTAGAGTCTTTCGCACAACTCCTCTGCTGAGTGAGACTCGGGTTTGTTAGCCGTCTGCCGGCTTCGCTTGCGGTTGCTCGAGGCTTCCGGTTGGGCCGAGACCCACCAACCCTACTTAGGAACCCCAAAAGGACATAAGCATAAGCATGTTATAGGGATATCCCTACCTTATCAGGCTTCAGTATAAGGGGACTTATATGTGGTGTCCCTATCCTAAATTGTGCTTATGTGCTTTGTTGGGGCCCTACCCACAGCTTGCTGCGCTAAGTTTAGGCATTACCAGGACCCTCAGAGTATGTAGACTAAATAGCCGTTCATAGCTGTTGGGCCAGTATCTTGCCTGCTTTTTGTTTGAAGCGGGGTCATTTGGTAGCGATGTGTTTAGAGTTTCGGGATGTACGGGTTCTGCACCGTGACGTTTTAAAGCCTGAGTTGTAATTACAGCCTGAGCCGCTGTCGGATGATGGCTTACTGGGGCTCAGGTTCTGAACAATAATTAAACCCTGAAGCCTCAATCCAGACTGCCTGTGCATGAGCACCTGGTTTAAGTTTTGGGTTTAGGGCTTCTTCAGGTTCTGAGTCAGGCCCAAACTCTGAATGCGAAAGAGTGTTTGTGGGCCTTATGCGGCCATGGACATGTGTCTAGGATTTAGAGAGAGGTGCATACCGGGTTTAAGTAAAGATCAAAGGGGAACTAGCCATGGTCTGCAAGCCTGCGGGACGTGCCCCAAGCGTCCAGACCCAACGTGTTAAGCCCCGAACAACAAACACACAATCGTACACCTAGCTGGAGGAAGCAGGAGATCGCAAATTGTCAAGCATTCCCTCCCTGCCGACAATCGACAAGCCTTGAACAAACGCGGGCGGCTGTTGAACCTTATCGGCTACTTCGTCTGCCATGGCGCAGGAGTGGCGAAAAGGACAGATTGCTTTTGGTGGATGTTTGTGCCTTGAGAAAACCGCGTCATCGAAGGACAGAGGTTAAACCCTAAACCCCAAAACCTTAGAACCCGAAAACCTGATCCTTGCACGTAGAACTCCCTGACTGCATGGAAACAGCAAGCCCCTGAAACCGCTGGATCAGACATCAACATTTCAACAGGTTCAGGCTATTAGGGATCGTTGGTTACAGGGTTTATGGTTTTTGGGTTTAGGGCTTTGTCAGGTGGGTAGTTACCGTTATAGGAGACTTATAGAAGGTCTATATACCTTATGGAACCTTTATAGAAGCCCTATATACCCTAAACTCCCCACCTGTAGCTTCCTTTAATTTAGGGTTTAGGGTTTTTGGGTTTAGGGGTCGGCTACGAGTTACCTCGGCGAAAGCATCTTCACGCTGAGGTCGGCGTGCTCTATCGAGAGATTAGGGTTTCGGGTTTTAGTTTAGGGGCCTTAATATTTACCTATATCATTTGGGGGGTTCCTTATTGTAGTTATAGTATATTCTAATTATTAAGGCCTCTACATCTTATGATAATCATAGTATATTCTAATTATTAAGGCCCCTACATTGGGATCTAGGCCACGTCCTTCACACTGCCCCCTTTCTGGCTTACAGTTGAGCCAGCTCGCAGAGGCAGATACCCAGCAAAGTGGGAGGCTTCTTCAAGGCGAAGTTGCACAGCACGAAACCCGAAAGCCCTAACCCTTGACATCTTAACTCTAATTTAGGGATATAGGGTTTAGGGTTTAGGGTTTAGGGTTAGTGCAGACTCGAGCTAACATTCGTTGGCGTGTTTGTCATTCTCCTACCGGTACGCCCCGGCTGACCCAGTCTTAATCATGAGGCTTAGGATTGTAAACTTGTGGCTTAGACTGCGCCGGCTTTCAACTTTATGTTTAGGAGCCCGTGCTTAGAGATTAGTTTCTTGGCCCGGTCGAAATGCTGATGAGACCATGGCAGAGCTGCTTTCTGTTCGGGCTGATCCGCCACTGCCGCGGCTACAAGGCATTCTGCTTGAGGGCTTAGGATCAGAGAGAGAAAGACAGAGACGGGGAGAGTAGAGAGACTCAAGACAGAGAGAGAGAGATGAGAGAGGTAAAGCGTAGTGGGAGAGAGAGAAAGACAGAGAGATTGTGTGTGTGTGTGTGTGTGTGTGTGCATGTGCCTCTGTCGTTGTCGTGTCGACAAACTGCAGATGTAGTTGATTAATTGCTTTGCCTAGTGAAGATGATCTTGTCCGGCCGATAAGACCTGGCCGTCGCACAGCTGCTGACGCTCCTGCTCACGCTCCACTGTGTATTTCTCGCTGGAATGCCCACTTCTGCTGCGGGCGCTGCTGCTTCTGCTGCTGCCCCCGGCTAGATCCCACCAGTATCACCACGACAACTGAGGAAAAAGGCAGCCATGACGAACAGCGAAAATGATCAGTGCTACTTCAAGGGATCCAGCCGTAAGCGCAGAAAGAGCAGATACCACAGACCATGATGGAGGAGGCCTGTCAGCACAAAGCTTTAGAAGCTGTGTAGTTACCTCCTGATGCGGCAGACCAACCCTGCCCTGAACTTGTCCTGTCGTGCATGACGGTAGCAACACAAAGAACGGATAAGTATGCACGGTTTCAGGTGCAGGGGTTAGTGGTTTTTGGGGTTTATAGCCTGAGTCGCAGATACCCGGCAATCCGGGGCCTCAAGCCGTGCACTCTGCCAATCCAACTCTGCTTCTTCACCCTAACTGTTGGATGTAAGCCTTATAGAGTCTAAACGAGTCTACCCAAACCCCTAGACCCTAGGCCCCTGAACCCTAAACCCTAAACTCCAACCAATAGACCCTACTATAGGGGCCATAGTAATTACCTATACTTTTTTTGAGGGGTTCCTTACTATGAAAGTATACTATATCCCAAGAACCCTATTTTAATTGTTAAGGCCGCTACCTTAAGCCCCTCGACGCGAGCTTCTTCGTATGTGTTCCAGGTCTTCGGCGAAGACCAGCTGGTACCGACGGTGGACCTGTCAGTGCTTTGGCTCAGAGAACTGACCTGTGTTTTGCATAATACCGGCGCCTAACTACTCATTTAGGCGCGCTCCTCGTATTTGTATAGTAGTATACTACAAAATATCCAACAACCTGGTCTAATGATTAAGGCCCCCACGTTATCGTTTGAGGCCTCTTTTCGGCTGAGGCGTATCGGCGGCTCGGTGCCAGAGCAAAGGTGCAGAAACAGGAGGTCGGGATTGGGTCCCCTGCTTGGGGTGTCATAGAGTTTGGGCTGTCGGGTTTAGGTATTTTGAGATAGGCTTACTTGGTTTCGTGTGTTGTTCCAAGAGCGGTGCCGGATTATTCAAACTATTAAGAAACACACTCAGGGCCAAGGGTTGTAGAAACCCGCCTGCTACCCCTTCACCGGAGACAAACTGTGGAACACAAAGCTTAACTCACTAACCTCATGGTAAGGTTGTAGTCGTACAAGAAGTAGAGCAAGGAAATCGAAATAACCGTGTGCAAGCGGTCTTCAAAAATGTCGTTCAACGGCAGCTGCTACTACAAGTACAGAGGCCAAATTTCGTTTCGTTATCCTAGAAACTCATAGCCTTATAAACTCTAAGTCCTATACCTGCCTTGAAAACAGTACCGTAGCGATGGTGATCCCGAAGAGGAGCTCGATGCTCACCTCCGCGCCCGCGGCGCGGCTGCCCTCCGCTCGAGCCGCCTCCTGGATGTAAGCTACAATGTGCATATGTATATAAGTGATATAAATGTGTTAATGTATTGTGCCTATTTGAATCTCTCTCTCTCTCTCTCCATCTCTCTCTCTCTCTCTCTCTCTCTCTCTCTTTACTGTGTATATATGTACACATTATGTATATGTGTGTGTGTGTACACATGGTTATGAAAGAAACATGTATGCTGAGATTGGTACCGAATTTGAGCTGCGGCTTTTGGCGCCTTCTTCGACTTGAGGTTTGGAGGCCTTCGTTTCGGGTTTGAATACGTTTTTTTTCCACACTTTGAGTTCGTGGATTTGGGCTGTTAAGTGCACCTGTTTTGAATCTGGCTGGTGTGGATTTTCTGGAAAAGCGACTCAAAACTTTCAATGCATGTGCATAGACGTCTGTATATGCGGACATACAGTGTCATCTCGTGTGGTCCCTATCTATTATATATATATATACATACATACATACATACATATATATATATATATATGTGTGTGTTTGTGTGTATATATATATATAGATAGGGGCCCTCAGAGATCAGCCTAGATCCCGAGCCTTGAACTTCGATGCGGGGATACCCATTCCGGTGTCCTTAAACCTTGTAAAACCCGATAGAACCCCAGCAAGCCTCATAAAACCCAATACAACCCCAATAGACCCCCATATAACTCCGTAAGCCCCAAGCGAACCCCACGTCGCCGCATGGGAGCCGAGGGGTCGACAGAATCGTTGCTGAAGTTTTAGAGCTCGCGCGCGAGGCACCGGGGGCCGTCTTCTTGCATGGGGTCTCGGAGTAGTCCGGGTTTTTGGGCTTATAGGGTTCGGGGTGTAGGGCCGAGTTGGTTTGGGGCTGTTGGAGTTCCTGTTGGATTGAGGAGATAGGGTTTACAGGACTGGGTTTAGGGTTGAGTTGAGGGTATCGGGTTTTTGACTATACGAATAATACGTAGAAACTTTCCACGAGTAGTTAAACCAACGTTGTAATCTAGAAGAATATTCCACCGAATTATAAGTTGGAGGGACCTAGATTCTTTCCGAAAGTACTCCCTGAATTCTAAATGCCCATCGAGACAGGGTATTGCAAGCCTCAAAATCTTCACGGTCTTTTTATAGTGTGTCGATGTCCGAAGGTCGGGCAGAGGTTTGAGGTCTCTGAAGGTTTGCGGGGCGGGTTTCACAGCGGTTCGGCACGTTCGGGCTCAAGCTGTCCTCTCCGCTGCTGGAGACTTCGGCCAGCCACCGTAATGCGAGAAGTGGAGCATGCGAGAAGGAAGAGGAGGAGGCTTGGTGGCTGGAGGAAGGTCGTAGATACGGGTCTGATACTGGTATGTTGTGTTTGGCCCGGCATCAGCCTAGAAGGTCTTGCAACTGCTACGGCCGGAATACATCGCACCCTATCTGCAAATCCTTCTGACACATTGCAGGAAGTCCGCAGAAAAAACGAAGACCTCCGAACGCTGCTGAAGAAGACTCCATGGCCAAGGCTGAAATGTTTTTCGGCAGAGGGGCGTACCCACGGCCTGCCAATGCGGCCCGAGAGCAGAGAGCCTTCACATCGGCCAGCGAAAGCCAGGCTGGAGTACTTGGCCGGCTTCTTCGATGGGGATGGCTGCGTTAAATGCGTGACGAATCTGTCTGGATGCATGTTGGCGGTGGGGCAGTCTTACGACCAGGCGGAAGTTCTCATGCTCTTCCGCGAAGCATTCGGTGGGAGCATCACACGGAGTAAAATGGGCAAGGGTTTGGCCAAGCCAGTGCTTCAGTGGCTGGCATGCGGCCAGTGTGCCCGAAGGGCAGCCTGGCTCCTGGCACCGCACAGCATGACCAAGCAGAAGCAGCTCTTGATTGCGGCGCGATGGCCCAAGAAAAAGCCGCGAAGAGAGGACCGCAAGGCCGAGCTGTGCGCTCTGAAGCAGCACGATTCGGCGGTCGCTGGGCCGTGCAGCTGGAGCTACTTCACCGGCTTCTTTGATGCAGAGGGCTGCATTACGCAGCCGTGTGCAGGAGCATCGCTGCTTTTGAGCGTCAAGCAGAAGTACCCCAAAGTCCTGAAGTGTCTTGGCGGTTTTTTGTCCCGCAGCATGGGCATCGATGCGAGCCTCCGCAAATCAGCGCCGGCGCATGTGTTGAGCATTTACGGCCTGTCAGATTGCAAGCGCATTTTGCAACGCATGCATGCAGCTGGACTGGTGTGCAAAGCGGAGCAGGCAGAACTTGCACAAGGTGTGACGAAGCAGAATGCAGCGAAAGTATTCGCTCAGCTGACCTGTCTGACTGGCAACCAGAAGTTTGGAAAGAAGCTGGACTCTGCCGGCCACGAAAGGGCGAGAAAGATAAAGTCAAAGCAACAGCAGGCAGCTTGCTTGCAGCAACAGGGCAGGCTGACAGAAGCTGAAAACAAGGACGGCGAGGTTGCGGTGCTCAAGATCGAGCACGAGCAAATTGGAGCCCGTTATGAGAATCAGCAGTTGCTTGAGTACGTTGGCAAACTGCAGAGTTTGCATGACAATTCATGGAATGGGCCACTTGCCCAGGGTATGTGAGCAAACAAAGGCATGGTCAACCTGCAAAACCTGTGTCCCACCACGGTTTGCTAAATTCGCTTCTTGCCGCCTGCGAGCAGTGGGTGCTGCACTCCTCCTCCTCTCCCCGTGGACGGCTTGGTTCGGAGCGTAAATGCTGTTGCGGCTCGTATATGTGTGGGAAAGTGTGTACGTACTATCATGTGCAGCTGACTTCTTTAACCTCATTCGACAGTAACGGAATGATATTCTGAAATCGAAATCGTTTGTCCCTGGCTTGTTGCCATGTCTCGCCACCCCGAAGCCCTACGCTGCATACCTTCTCAGCCTCACAACCTTCAAAGGAGTTTCGGAAGCCCCGATATATATATATATATGTATATATATATATATACATATATACATATATATATATATATGTATACATATATATACATATATAGATAGCATTGCTGCACCTTCTACTACGCCTCATAAGCCTTGGCAGGAATTCCGGGAGCGCATGTCTAACGTAGACGACTGGGGCTGGCGCGGCTTTGGCTGCGGCTGGGTCTTCCCGAGGTGCCTGGCAGCGGAAAACTTTCGGGCTGAGAGTGCTTCAGTACTTAAGGGCTCAGGGGACTTAGCAGACTTAGCAGGCAGGGTTGGGAGTGCCTGAATTCAGTGGGTCTATGCGCACGTAGAACTCGAACGGCCCTTTTTTACCCCTGCTTGCACAGTCCTCGGCTCACCTTAAGTGGAGGGTTTGCGAAGTGTATGCTCTCGGGGGCATGGAGACCGCGGGAACTGCGAGTGTTGGATGTTGGATGTGTCAGCAGTCAGCAGTTGAGGTTGGCGGAGCAGTGCAGGACAATTCGGCTTGTTGCAGGGGTCCGGTTCTGCTGTGTGGAGTTGATGTTGGGGATACATGTGGAGGTTTGCTGCACGTATCCAGGACTGGACTCGGTTTGGATGTTCCTTTTTGTTACACGAGTTTGGGAGTTTTGTGGGCTAGGGGTCGAGGATTTTGCTGTGCAGTTCACGATTGACTTTGCCGTTTTCGCTAGAAGGTTCGCCCTCCGGTTTCGGGGTTTGCTGCACCTGTCTTAGTATGCTTCAAGAATCCTGGGTGGAAGTCGCGAACTTTTGCAGACGCAAATCTTAAGGGCCCTTGGCGCCCCGCCCCATCTCCAGAGATCTTTGGCACCTCGGAGGTCGGCGGAGATGTACAGCCACCCCCACTACCTGGCCTTCATCCGCGAGGAGAAGCGAAATTTTTTCGGGATGGGAGGAAGTTGACTGCCTGTTATGCCGTGGTTGAAGGTGTGCGCATGGGCCAGAGATGACAGCCCCAGGGTCCAGAGTTCTGACGGTGCAGCCCGAACATGCAAAATGTAAACCCAGTACGTACCTTATGAAGCCGAAAGCCCAAGAGCCAGTTTTGAATTCCAAGCCAGATTCCGCTGCGTCGTCTCGACCTCCGAGGACGGCTCGACTGACCCACCAGAGCTGCCTTTCCGCCTCGACAGGCATGGGATGCTGGGATTGTATTTTGCAGGGGCCTTTGTACTTCGTAGCCAGTGGTTTGCTTAAATATACCGCAGCATACAAGTCGCTGCTTGTGTTTATGTATGTATGCATGCATGCATGTATGTGTGTTCGCACATACATGAATTCATGTGTGTGTGTGTGCATGTCTACTTACGTATCTGCACACCCGCTTGTCTTGTGTTTGCCAGTATCAGTGTACCAACCTGTACAAAACACGTCCTGGTTGAGTGAGTCTCTCTGAACCCCAGAGCCTAAACATTTGCAAGACTCCATACAGAAGCCCTCATGACCTTTGAAACTTCAAGCTTATACCCCTACAGAGAAGCCCTTCCATAGGTCGCGTGTTACAACCCGGAGGCTTCTTGCCGGCTTGCAGCGGTCCGTCTTACCCTACTTGGAAGACATGCTCGCCACTGACCTGCATTGGCCTGCGGCATTCTGTTAGATTCTGGTTCGTGTAAAAGTTGTGACACGTAATTTTGACTTAGAATCTGCTCTTCTGCAGCAAGTTTTTTTCATATTATGATAATCCAGAAAACAGCCGGCATCGCAGATAAACTTGTTGAAGGTACGCTTGGTGTCCGGAAGTTCTAGATGAGCTGGCTCTCCGGGTCGTGTTTTTTGTTCATTCAGGGTGGTCGCAGCGGGAGGTTTGAGCGAAGTTGCCTTGCCAAAGCACCGCGGTGATCGCGCCAGAGTATATTGCCTCGGCTTTCTCTGTACCGACCAGCTTCACCTTGAACACAACTCGAAAGCTCCAACCTCAATCCTAATTAAGGCCCGGACTGAATCGTAAGAACTCCAAACCCCAGAGTTTCAACCAATCCACACAAACACAAATGCTCCGAGTCTTCGCAAGGAGCATGGCCTTGATTACGAGCCGGGCTCCTTAGCGGGCGCGCTGCAGATTACCACTGCCATCGCGCACTACTATCCAGATGCTACGAAGCAGGAGATCGGGATTCCGCTCCTTTGCACACGTCTGAGACCTTTGGGGGTTTTTGAATTTCATGTTGGAGTCCGGATCCTGCGAAGCCATAAGAACGACTTTGACCAAAGCAAGAAGCGGAAGCCTAAATCACTGACATCCCAACCATGGTACGGTATATGGTCCCAAATAACGGGCAGTTAGGGTCTAATAAAGGGTAGATGGAGGGTCTAGGCACTTTTTACATGTTTATCTAAACTTCTGCGGCCAGGGTGGCCTGGGACCCGAAACCACACACACACACACACACACACACAATTCCTGCTCGAGCTCCAGCTTCCGTCGAGCCCGAAACTGTAGAGGTAGCGCTGCAGGAGACGCTGCTGACTCATGCAGCCTTCCACTGCGACGACTCTTTCTTGACTTTGCGGCTTGGCTCGGTCGAGAGCATGTCAGCCCAAATTGCATGCGCATCCTGTGCTCGAAGCGGGGGTAGAGCATGGAACGTTGCGTCGAAACCCGAAACTTCAGAGTTTCGCATGGACCCAAGACTGGGGGTTTAGGGCTGCAGGTATGACAGCAAACAGTAGCAAGTTTGTGTAGACATTTCTCTTGGAGTTTTGCAAACAACGAATTGTGAGACATGGGATTGTTCAATAGCCGAACCAATGCCTACTTCGAACGCTTAGCTCGAGACGTTTCCGTCGACCCCAGCGCAGGAACCTCGAGACCAACCGCGGAATCCATGGGCTGCAAAGTTGGCCCGAAGGAGCTTTACCAAGCGTACCCTTCATAAGGTTTCCTTTAAACTTTAAGGAAGGGTTTCCCTGAGGTTTTAGGGTGAGTTCTGGGGCCTAAGTGGCTGAAGGTTTCAGAGGCTGCCGGGGTTAGGATTGACGGGCTCCGGGTTCACTGTGAGTGAGTGGCTATGTGAGTTTTCTCGTCTCGAACTACCACTTTAAGGCATCCGCCATTCTACAATCGACATCTGCCGGTTCGAGAACGTTTCATACTTTCTCTTTCCAGGACCGCAGATTCGACGGTTCCAGTATGACGACGAGGCCACTTAAGACGAATCTGCAAGAGACCGAAGAAGGGCAAATACCTGGGTAGCACAGCGGGCTCATTAAATCGTGGAAGTCACGAGTTCCGTTTCTCCTCCATACCTCATGGCCGACCTCATAGCGCAGAAGTCATGAATGCTGCAACTTGAAGTTGGGTACAGAACTTGGGTTATGCAGTTCAAGGTCAAGGTTGAAAATCCGTGGTTTCGAATGGGTTTGTGTAGTGCTTCCTGCTTGAGGCGAACTCGTCGGTGATGAACCTTTTCGTGGGTGGCCCCTTGGCTTCTTAAAGAGGTGTGGGTCAAGACGCGTAGCCTGGCGTTCGGCATCTTCGGACCCGCTCTTCTGCAAAGTGTGAGCCCTGTGCTGAAGCGTCTGATTCTGCGCTGATCGTGAGCGCAAAACCTGCGAAGAGCCAAGCCCTGCAACAGCCAGCAGCTCATCACAATGTCGGTCATGAGGCTGTGAGGCCATGCCAGTGCCCTGTGAATCTGTGAGTTGTAATGAAGCGCAACTCAGCATAGCATCCTCTTGTAGCTCTTCTGCAAAAGCAGACAGGTAGGCGCAGCCGGTACAGCGTTACAGCGTAATGCCAATTTCGATTCGGATAATATAAAACTACTTTGTAGCCTTCGCGGCCTTGCCGCAAACCCAGCCAACTAACGAAACACAGCAGATCTGCGTTAACAGCAAAGTGTAGCAACCTCTTCTTCCACAGCCAAGGATATCTCCAAGCCCTCTCCCAGGGGCGCTGGAGGAGTCTGTTGCACTCAGGCGGGACTTTGTTTTGGCATGGCCTGTATTTGCCGTTTAGGTTTGTTTGTTCCCCACCCTCGGCATGGGGCTGTTAGATGTTAAAGTCAGCTATTACTCCTCGCCCTCTGAGACTACCTCCTGGAGTGCCCAACCCCAAAGACTATAGCGTGAGACTCCCTGGAGTGCCCAGCCCCACAGACTAGCGTGAGACTCCCGTGAGACTCCCTGGAGTGCCCAACCGCACAGACTAGCGTGAGACTCCCGTGAGTGCCCAACCCCACAGACTACCGTGAGGGTGGGAATGTTCGAAGTACAATAATTTGTTTGTTTCTTTGTTTGCTTGCTTGCTTGTTTGTTTTTTTGTTTGTTTGTTTGGTTGTTTGTGTTGGATGCTTTGACATTGCGGCGCGCACACGAGAGTGTACGATTAATGGACCATTTTCCTTCCAAAGCTTGACACTGCTGTCCGGAGAAGCACGCTATGAGTTGATCCTGTGACGGGGAAGCTTCAATGTTCAGCACTTTGAACGGTTGAAGGCTCGCTTTAGCTTGGGCTCTGAGATGCGACCATGCGTCAGACAAAGCTACTTGGGCCACAGATTCTGCATGGATTCCGGCCGAATGGGCTACGAAGTGCTGCTGGGACGACTCAATCTTTCACATCTGTCCAAACACAGGATCGAAAGCAAGGGAGGCCAAATGTCACACGGAATCTTTGCCCCGAGGTTTTGCCTTTTGCTGCAGTGCCCACTGATGCAGTGCATGTGGTGAAGGAAAAGAACCATCAGTTGCGCGACATCCTGAAGACCCTCCGCTGGCCGAGTTTGAGGTCCTTTGAAGTGGACGGCAACGTGTACCCATTGCCATACAGGAAGCTTGAAGACGGGCCTTGCACTCCATCCAAGGCCGTGCATGCCAAGGCCAGCATGGACTATTTGGCTGGCTTTTTCGACGGTGATGGATACGTCGGCTCCTACACATCATCGTGTGGATGCCGCTTGTCGGTAAGCCAGTGCGTCCACCAGGCTGGGATTCTGCTCTTGTTCCAAACAGCCTTTGGAGGCACTATTGCTCGCCAAGCCGATGGTGTAGGATTGAGGAGACCGATGTTGCATTGGTTCGTGAGCAGCTTGCGCGCTCGCAATGCGGCCCGCAAGTTAACAAAGTGCAGCATAACAAAGAGGAAGCAGCTTCTTCTTGCAGCCCAGTGGCCGGGAGATAAGCATTTTCAAGAAGAGTTCAATTATGATCTGAGTTGTTTGAAGAAGCAAGATTCGGCTGTACCTGGCGAATGTACATTGGAGTACTTCGCGGGGTTCTTCGATGCGGATGGGTGCATCATTATCCCCCCATCGGGTGGGCTGAGGCTGGAAATCAGGCAGAGGTTCGGAAATGTGCTCGACGGCTTGAAAGAGTATTTGTCTCAGGCCTTTGGGATTGAGGCCCGGGTCCGAACCTACCACCATTTTTCGGTCTTGACCGTCTACGCTACTTGTTCATGCAAGCTACTATTGCATGCCATGTTGAGGGCAGGACTGAGCTGTAAGGCGCAGCAGGCAGAGCTTGCCCTAAGTTTAACGAAGGAAAATGTTGTGGAAGTCCGCAAGGCCAAAGCAAGACTGGGTGGAAATCAATGCTTTGGCAAGAAGCTGGATGAGCACGGCCTCCGGAGATTCCGATCCATTGCAGCGCTCCAGGGGCAGGCCAGGAGATGGATGCGGCAAGGGCAGGCAGCTGAGGCTGACGCCATGCTGCAACAACTCGCAGCAATGAAAGCTGAGCACGAGAAGCTCAATGCGGAAATGGAGAATTTGCAGCTGAGCGAGTATGTATGCAAAATTCAATGCTTGCACAGAGAGCGAGATCATGGCAACTAGCGAAGTAAAACTGTTGCGGTAAGTTTCAATCCGGCACAGGGCTCTGGTTTTCCCAGATCAGCATGACAACAGTGCCCACCCGCCAATGTCGCACCATAACCGAACTGCCCACTGGTTTTAAAGACCAGCTTGTAAGCATGATGCAGGTGTCCTGCACCGAGGTACCCTTGTTTCTGGTATCTTGTCGTAGCTTCCAGGATCACAGCGGCGGGCTCTGTAGAATGATTTTTGAGACCGAGACAGACTCAAAGTGCATACTTGTTTCTTTGCGTCTATGTTTGATGCAGTGCTACAATCATGCAAAATATCGGAATGTCGACAAACTTTTTGAGTCTGAAGCTTTCATTCCTGCTTGCTGCTCATGTTGTTACCTTCTTGTCCAGTTGTTCCTGTGTCCGGTCACGTCACCGTGTTCCATGCATGCCGCTGGCAGGTTCGAATCCCAGCAATGCTGCTCGGCATGACCCGGAGAGAAGAAGCATCACAGCCTCCAGAAAAGACTGTCAAGTGAGATACGACTCGCCAGCTCCCTTCATTGCCATGAGTTTTTATAACATATATTCATCTGCATCGTACTCGTAGTATCCTGAACCCTAACACTGGATCCCCGAAAGATCTGAAATCTAATTGGGTGATGAGCTGAAGCGCGAGTCGTTGCCGATTGATCCGAGGAGGATCGGCTGTCCCTGACGCTGTTCCTCGGCATACCCCAGCTCCACGAGGCAAATTGAGCTAGGTGAGGGCTTCAAATGTTTCAGTATTGTGTGCTGGGGTCCGCCATCCTGTTATGTTTCGCATCACGCTTTTCCCCAGCGAGACCTTTGCAAGCACTCTCGACACACGTTTGTGTATATGGGGACGGATGGCTTGACTTGCGTGGACTCCTACCCTGCCTGCTACATGCGGAACAGTCTGTCATGTCGTGTTGCCACAGGCCGCGCGGGCTCAGCACGAAGGCACCCGCGGCGAACAGGAGCAGCAGGTGCGCCCAAATTTTACTTTGCACAGATCATGAGGGCGGATCTGCATGACGTTTAGATGTTCGTTTGTGGTTGCACTCTCTTGGGCTGCAGAGGTCATGAGGGCTGGGGCGGTTAAGGCCTCTGATCGGTTCCAGCTCTTTGCAGCTGCGATATCGACGATGCCGATGCCTTATAAACCTTAAGTAAACTAAAAGCCTAACACCCTGAACCCTAAGCCCCAAAGCCCTAAGCCGTCTGACCCCAGGTCTTCGACTGGTTTGGGCAGGCCAAGCACTTAGATGAGTGGTCGGCCGGCGCTCGGTTCGACGAGATACAGGACTGCGGATGTTGAGGGTTTTGGGGCTCAGACCAGCTGACCGTTCGAGTTTCGGCTTCGGGGACTTCAGGCACGTTGAGGTCCAGGCGTGGAGTGTAGAGTTCAGGCTTGAGGAGCAGCTGATATTCAGGTTTTAGAGATCGGATCAATTATAGGGTTGGCAAATTGCGGATCAGGTGGTGAGTGGATAATTCTCTACGACACGGATTACGAAGCACTTCTCGAGTTCCGGTCCAGCTTCGTCTAGCTGGTAAGTTGCGGATCCTGTGGGGGCTCTTTCGATCCGGATTTAATGCAAGAGCTTATCCTCTCCCAAGCTCTTGAGGCTTTGAGCTTTTCTCGTTGCAGTTGCGGAGGACATGTACACCCATGGCGATGGCTTTCGAGAGTCTGTACAAAGCCTGCCTCCTGGCCCACATGTGTTGGCAGAGGCGGGTGTGCTATTGCAAGGCATGCCAGGCTACATCAGCTGGTGTAAACGATGTCATGTGGCACGAACTCCAAGAAGCGCTCACTTAGCAAGCCGTGATCTCTGAAATCGGAAGCCCGAACTTGCAAAGCTACTTAAGCTTCCAAGCAGAGCCCTCTGAACCCCACCACTGTAGAAATTCAACTATCGACCAAGGCTCAGCAGAGCCAGGCCACTTCCCTCCAAGACGCGGGCGCGACACTGGCAGGCTCCCCAAACCCCACTTCCTCCACAAGCTTAAGCCCACGACCGTAAGCAGCTGTTGCGTGTCCTTTTGGGTCCCTTGAAGATAGCAGTCTTTGTCGGATCGTCGTCCCTTCAACTTCCGAAGCCCGAGCTCCGAATTAGACTCCAAACTCTACTCGAAAGTAATTATAGACGTTGGGCCCAACAGATTGAACCTCCAAGCTCCGAGTTCAACCGAAATCCGCCGACCGCAAAACCCAAGCCCGAAACCCGAAGTCCCTGAGCTCGCAAGCATAGACCCTAAGCCTCCAAGCCCCAATCCAGAGTCCGTGTTCCTCCCATGCTCCACAATACTCCAAAAAATACTTTAAACTCTGCTTCCCAAAAGCCCTATGAAGCCCATTCCCTTCAGCCCATTCCCTTCTCAGCGGCTTGCAGGCGGTGGCCAACGCCCGAGCCAAGGCGCAGCAGTAGGCGTTTTGTGCCGAGCCGAGGATTTGGAGAGAGTGGTTTTGTTCGGAGTGCGATTCCGAAATTCCGCAATCCTCGACCTCAAAACTACAAAACTTGACAAGGTACCGTTCCAGAAGTCCCGACTCTCCAACTACATGATTACAATAGCACACCCTACAAAGCCCCAATCTCATGAAGTAATGCCTTTCTTAAACTTCCGGCTTCCTTCCTTTGGCCAGCTCCGCCGCGTGCCGGCCCTCGCAGCGACGGCGGCCTTCTGCACCCCTGGGGGCTCCGTCGGCGCAACGCGGGTGCGGTCTCAGTGTTTGGTGCGCGGGTTTGTAAACTTGGGATGGCTTTGGGGATACCGCAGGTTTTACAGTGAAACTTTACAGGATATATTGAGCGGAACGATTTTTCGGACTTAAGTGTCGGGGGATGGAGTACGTGGGCTGGGTCATTATTCTGCACCTATTTATGTGCAATGTGCCCCTGCTGCTTGGGCGGCATGCGGGATGGACAGTATTTTGTAAGGTAGTTGCCACAGTTCCTCTCCAAAAGCATTCTACTTGTACAGAAGTGATGCTTCAGTTGGGCAACTAGACAAAGCAAAAGTGGTAAAGTTTTGAGCATGCTGAGCCTGATACCCCTAGAGTAGCATAGCGGTTCCTAGCAGTCTTAGCGCGAATCATCCTCGGTCCGTATTCCTAGTTCTGCAGTTCATTGTATATTTTTGCGGTGTGTAACCGAATTCGGTCTTTTGTCCCCCGTACACCCTTAACCCTAAACCACTCTGTGCATGGTTGTTCCGGCAAGTCGTCCGGTTCGAACTTCGACCACACACACAACCCGGTGATAGCCGGATTCGAGATCTCTCTGCGCCACACTGGCGTTGCCGAAACGGGTGCCTTAGGTAAGCAGTTGTCACTGCGACTCGTACGTATCACTGGACATGATACTTAGACCCTCGTGGCCGAACCGCCATCCTCTCACATCAAGCAGTCTTGTCTTCGTCTTCCGGCGTGTAGAACACACGAAGATTAACCGGGTAAGGTGAAGCCCCTTCCTCCGATGTGGTGACACAAAACTTAGAAATAGAACACTTCACCGGATTGAAGACGACCCTTGCCCTGCTTGTCAGTCTTTCTCTGCCCTGGCGGCTGGAGCAGCGATACTCGTCCTGCGGAGGTGCTTTTGAGGTTTTGTTGTCAATCTCGGGTCATCGAGCTGAGGGTTCGTGAAATCGCATGCGATAGAAACCAGATCGCACGGCCGCAGACGTACAGCCCGATATCCGGTAGGCTCCGGATGAGCTTTAAGGCTTGGGGGTCCAGCGAGCTCCAATCCACGATCCCCGCAGTCCTTGGTGCAGTAAAGTAAAAGCACTACCTACTACCGCTGAAGCGGTTACTTAGTAACCTTAGACCCGATTCATCGGCAGCAGCAAAACCACGTAAGATGGATGGAGTCACCATCCCTAGTTAATAAGCCTTTCAGCCTCAATATCATGATCCTGCAAACCCTCCACATCAAGCAGCTTAAACGTCTTCCGGCTTCGGTCAGGTCAGCCTTGCGAAGGTGACGCAAATGAGGCCTCTCACGCTATGAGCCTGCGAGCCTGTGCCGCGGCTCGGACACTTCGTCCGCTATACTTTGCCGAGCTCTAGAAGGAAACAAAAGTCGAGCCTGGACTTGGGTTGTGCCGGGCTGGCTGATTGCTCACAACCACACCCCAATTTCTATTATGCCGAGGGGCCGCATCGCCAGGTGTGAGAATCTTTCTGTAGTGAGGCATGGTCGACACTGCCAGAGTCAGAACAAATCTTGTAGTTTTGTGCGGCTGCTTGTTCATGCTAACATCCAAGAAGCAGTGACGCAAATCTGTCGAACTCGCGCAATCGCCTCATTGTTTCGCTCCCCTCGCAGGTGAAGAGCAAAAACGATGCGGTGCAGGTTACCGTGGACTCCGCAGAGAACGCGAGGAAGGCGCACGGGTCCAATGCCAGCGGATGGAACCCTAAGTGCAGTTACTTGTACCCAATTGTTGGAAGCTTTGGGGTACTTTAAGGTGTATATATACGGTATACGGTTTGCTGGACTGTAACCTTGGGACTCCTAGGGGAGGATAACGTGGCAGAGACCGACCTGAGACAAGACACTTACTGTAGACTAAAACCGGATGCGAATAAAGAGTTATAGTTTGATTCAGCGGTTGGCAGAGAGCGTCAATGCAAAAGCATGTGGAATCCACCACGCTGCATCATGCTGGCTTTCTGTAAGCAGCTTATTTGCCTCGGCTTTCCTGGCATCATGTGTTAGCGGCTCTTCCTTCGATGGGTCGAAACGCGGAGGGACATCTCTACCCTAAATCCCTAAGCTTCCTAAAGCCTCAAGCCATCTCAAGCCTGAGCAGAACCTTGGCACCACTGGCATGCCGGATGTATCTACCCAGAGAGCCCAATACCCCTCGAAGTAGGAAAAAAATCCTTAAGTTATAGGGGCGTTATTATTATTATTATCATTATGATGTAAGGTGTATTTCTTATAATTAGTTACCGGGTATTGGGCTCTCTGGGTAAGCCCTAAACCATCAAGCTATCCACAAGCCTACGCCGGAACATAACCGGGGCATCCCGGATGTGCCCAGAGAGCCCAGTGCCCCTTAAATCAGGGATCGGAATATTACTTAAATTCTACAGTAGGTTCCTGAAGAAGAGGTATGGGGCATCCCGGATGTGGAACGCCTTGCGCCCTTGTCCAGGATCTCAAGATGCAGCTGTCCAAAGCGCAGCAGGAGGTTGCCGTTTTTTCGGGATGTTGCTGGTTTGGGGTTTGAGGTTTAGGGTTTGGGGCTAGGGTTTAGGGGTTTCGAATCCTGGAGCCTTGACTTCAAAAGAGCCCTGAACCTGAACCCCTGTAGAAGTCACAGCAATGTGCCAAACCCAAAACTTCTGAACCCTCCAAACTCCAAGCCGCAAGCGCTGAGAGGTCCAAACCCTGTAAAACCTCCACAGAGAGAGCTTTTGAACATGCGTTGTTAAGCCTTTCCCTCAAAAACCCTATCAGGCCCTTCTGAAACACAGATCCTTACAAGCCCTCACAAAAAACCACGCTACAAAGCCCTCCACGTACCATCCTGAAAGGTCGTTCATCTCCAGGGCCGTCGGAAGGAGCTCTCCGAAAAGCTGGACCAGGAATCGGGTTCAGGGTTTAGGGTTTAGGGCCAAGATTTCGAGATTGGCCTCTTAGGGGCCATTGTGGCAGTGTCCATGTTCAGCATGTGTTTCTTCTTGTGGATTTAAGTTATGGGGGTTTGGGTTGTCTTGCATCCGGCTGTCAATGGGTATGCCATACAGATATCTGCAGGGTTTGCGTGAATTTAAGTCTACAGAGAGCAGTGTTGGGCTTCCAGGCTCGCCAGCCTTTCTCTGGCAAAGGCGGGTGTGATGACTGTGCTTGATATGCTTGGTGTCCGTGACCTTGGTTTGACCATGAACTCATGTGTTACAGTCCTGTCACATCTGTTTGCTACGGTGTACTCCTCTAAACCCCAAGCGCTAAACAATTTCTCAAACCCTGCTGAAAGCTTTGAGCGACATGAGCCCGGTGCGGTGGATGCTGCAAGGAGAAGAAGCGAAGAGCGGAGCTGACAGAGAACTGGAAGAAGCTGAAGGACACTTATAATATAGACTTCTTCGAGGCCTGAAAATCAGATACATCCCCCTTTGGTAATGGTAGTCCCTATACAATTACCCTCTCATGTACCCCACACAATTCGGTCCTAGTCTTTAAAAGGTCCTATACGAATCGGGGTTCGGGGTCGAGGGGCCTCGAAGCATAAGCCCGACTAAAACATAGCTCAGGGGACTTCAAATACACAAAGTAATTAAGTCGCGCAGACCTGACCAGATCTCTTATTCAAGCGTGTTAAGTAGAGTCAGCTCAGTGTCATAATTCTGCAATATAGCTTGGGGGATGCTGAAATTCACCCTTCGGGACATGGCATCGCCAAGCACAGGGCACAAGCTTTGGATTCCAAGATCCTTCCAGCTTGCACCCGAAGCCGCATAGCCACCTTCGACTTGATTCCTTCAATCAGAGCCCCGGAACATGCTTTGCCGCTGCTTGTTCGCTCCCCGCCACTCGCCGCCTTCAGCTTGCCGCGTAGGCATTTTGACAACAGGAGCTCGACAAATTGACACGTCGAACTTTTCAACAACATGAAGCCCACTCTTGCCTTATAGTCATACCTAGCCAGGTGTAGAATGACCCAAGCCGTAGCCACCCAAAACCCCAAAGCCAAGCATGCCTTCAGCCATAACCTGGCTCGTCTCAATAAAGCCCAAAGACTGACCTAAACCTGCAACTCCCACTTTAACCCGAAGCCCTAAACCCATCAACCTCAAGCACCCCAGATCCTGCAAGCTTGGGTGAAGCCCAGAGCCCTGAAATCCCCAAAACCCCTCAAACAGCAACGGAACTCCTCTTTTGAGCCGTCGGGGGGCCGCGCTTGACTCGAGGCTGGGGTGGGGCGTCTCTAGGATCTTAGAGAGGGGGATGTCTGGTGTCGCTGTTGTTCATACTGTTCCCTGATAAGTTCCATCTCGGCTGAGGCTTCCTTCCTTTGCCGGAAATTTGGGATACTGGACTTAGTGGTTGGTGCTGAGTATTTACCATTCAGGTTGCTTGGGTTTTGTTGGTGGCGCAGGGCTTCCGGTTGCGGGCTCCGGCTCCCAGAAGCATCTACGGGCAGATGTGGAGGACTCGGACTTAAAGTTCAAACGCCACGTGCGGCAGCGACCACATCTTGCACCTTCCGCAACGCAAGGTCTTGAACTCCCCCGAGACTACGGTTTGAGGTTTGTTGCCCGAATACTACCCGTTCAGTCTGCGACAAGTAGAGTATTAGTCCAGTCTCATGAAGACTCATACTTACCTGTTTAAAGTTGGCTCCATACTACTCGTACTATAGTGGCCTAAATACTTACCAATATTACTGTTAGGGTTCCTTGTTATATCTTTACGATAAAGGAGCCCCAACACCTTATTCTAATTACTATAAGGCCCTTACATTACTCGTAGGTGGAATTGGGACTCCGGTTGGTCAGGTGCTGCCATGTTCGAGTTCGATGAGCTGGAAGCCGTTACTCTGGCAAGCTTGTCTCGAGCTGCGGAGCCCCAGTGTAGAGGCTTGCATAATCATAGGAACAATGAAAATCAGAAACAGCCATCGTGTCTTGCACAATATCAGTAACAGTACCGATAGCAATAATGATAAGAATGAGTAGGAATCAGTACGTATGGAGATCTTGGGCAGGGTTGTGCAGTATTTCATTTAGGGGCTTCATGAACATTATTACCCATGCCCCAAGTAGTTACTCGCTCCGAAGCCTCCTGCGTCAAGTGTTGAGGGCTTCGAATCGAGGATAAAGGCAGTTCCCTCAAGGCTGAATCCCTCAAGAAACAGAGAAAGATCAGCATCCAGCTGGAAGCGTGCAATGATGCCAGGCTCTTCCTCACCAGGCAGTGGCTGTTTTCGGCGCTGGCTCAGAGGAGGCACGGTGGCAGGGCTTCGGAATTTTAGGAGTAAAGCATTCTACCCTAGCAGAAAGCACGAGCTCTTGAAATTTCTCCAACCTGGGCCGTTCAAACCACCAGGCACTGCTAGGCAAATGAATGGCCCCCAAACCCTTAAACCCTCAGGTACGCTTGTGGCAGCCTTAAGAACTCTGAAGCTACGCTCATTGAAGAAGCCTGATTTTGCCCTCATAGTACCTATACATTATCGTACCCTCACAGTACCCTGAAGCCTAAACCATGGCCCTTGTAGTACCCTGTAGAGTGCCCTTGTTATAGTACCCTTATTATAGTACGTAGTACCCGTATAGGACCCTTCATAGTACTGTATGGTACCCCTTCTTGTGTCCTTAATGGTACCGTATGGTACCCCGTGTTATTGAAAGAAGCGAAGCTCCCAGGTCAATGGGCTCTATCTGGACACCGGAGTCCAAGCACACGGGGCGCCGATCTTCAGGCCACGGCTTCTTCCGCCGTAGGCCTTTATAGGGTGCAAGGTTTATATGGGTTTATAGGGTTTGGGGATTTCGGGTTTAAGGGTTAGGGGGTTTAGGTTAATCAGGCTTGGTAAAGGCGGTGTTGTAAGCGCTTTTAGGCTTTCGAAAAGACAGGGCTTCATATGATGTCTAGGATGGGGGCCTGAATCTTGCTAGAAAGTATAAAGCGTCCTGAAGCAGTCTAGTTCAGTTATCCAGGCCTTCAGGCCTCTGCATTACCAGAACCCTCTTTGTTTGGAAGCTCTCTCTAGAATCTATATTCAGGTTTGTATTCAGACCCTGCCAAAACTGCTTTTGGTAGTTAAGGGCACTAAGTCTACAGGGGTACTGTTTTCGGTCAACTCTTCCACAGGAGCCTGCAAGTTTAGGGAAGTTTTGGTCTTAAGGCATCCTGCTTCCAACAATTAATCTAGTCTGCAAGAAATAGACCCGAATCATCTACACGAATAGCCCATGTGGCTTAGCCTCCGGACTTTAGGAATTCAGGGCTGATGGGCTTTTCAGCGGTTTTTGGAAACTTCGGGCTTTCAGGCAGCCCGACACTTTCAATCCTGCGTCGCAGGGTTGGTGAAGGGCCGGGGTTTAAGGCTAAGGTTTAGGGTTTAAGGTTTAGGGCTTAGGGCACACCTTAGGGCACATGCCAGAAAAATCTACGAATCCACAAGCAGGGAGCTTTCTTGAACGTGCTCTAGAAGTTAAGGCCCCGGGCCCATGCAGGCACACGGAGCACGGTCGAACATTGCTGGCGCGCGAGCCTCACGGTAACCGCCAGGTTCTCAGAATCTGACCTGTGTACTGTGCTAGAATGCCCGTTTCGAGTAAAGCGCAGAACTGTAGGGACTCTGCCTTTTAGGAGAAGGTTGAGGTATTGCATTTGGCGCAAAAGCTTCCATGAACAGTTCGAGCAAAGCAGCAGCCTGAACCTTCAGCAGTTCTGCACCTCAATGTCGTTTGCATGTACAGGATGCGGGATTCGGGTGTGGCACTTAGAGTTTGTTGAGGAGTGGCAGATGTGACGGTTTCAGGTTTGTTTGGAGAATCAGAAAGCAGCTAGGCCGACGAGTGCAATGATTGGTGATTAGTGATTCAGTGAGGGCCGGGATAAGTCGAGGCACTGTCTTGGTCTTGTGCCCAAGACAAAACGCAGCCATCCCCATGCTGTAATCCGCAGACCCGAACCCAAAACCTCTTCTTCTTCGGATGTACGTTATGGGATTCAGGATCCTACACAGTTCCACGAGACCCTATACATGCTGAAGGTGCATGGTTGCTGGATGGCTTGATGATTCGTACTTAGGCAAGCAAGACAAGGCCCAGCCCGAACAACATTCACCTCCTGAATTGAGAGCCGCACCGATTGAATCCAAATGAACTCCGCAGTCTTCGAGATCCATACCTTGCGACCGAACTGCCGTGAGACCCTAGTAAAACCAAGTTCGAACCGCGTGTCATCCTACGACAGGCATCGGCTGGCTCATCGGAGTTGACAGATGCCCGTACTACGGCCGCTGAGCTTGCACAAGTGTGAGGGTGTTCGGGCTACACAGGGTCGCAGAGGCAAGACCTGAGCTTCAGAACCCTTTAAGAGGCTTACAGGCCCTACCCCAAAGCCCTGCACCCTGCTAAAACCTTGCCTGATGCAACTGTAGCAAAGGGCTTGCAGGCTTTTTGTCAGGATTTTTTGCCAAGGGTCCGGCTGTGGTCGGAAGCATGCGTTTAAGGGCTTGGTATCACGAGGATGCATGCTATGCAGCCTCAAGACTCATGGTAAACTCCTCCCTTGGAACTCGGACTTTTGTGTTCAGATTGCTTCCCTATATATGCCTAAATCCTGAACCCGAAAGGCCATGAGGCACAAGTGCAGCAACGACGGGTCGCGTGCAGGCACGTAAGCGCAAGCATCACAAACCCCAGAGCCTGTCAGCCTCAAGATCCGAACGGTTTAGGTTTTAGGTTTTACGTAGGGTTTAGATTTCAGGTTTGGGGTTGAACCCTGAACCCTAAATCTTATGAAATCCCTTGTCCTAGAATCCGAACATGTCAACAGAGCTTCCCAGGCATTCGGACGGATGACACACGCTGTCCGGCCAAGGGCTGGCGTGCGTTCAAGGCCTGCTGTGAGGGCTTCGGTTGCAGTGGTTTGGGCTTAGGGTTTAGGGTTTTAGGGTTTCTTTACTGCTTCGGTGTTACTCCGGAGTACTTCAGAGTTGAGGATGTTTGGGTTGAGGTCGATGGAATTTGGGTGCCTGGGTGCTTGGGATTGGCGGTCGCTTCCATCTTGGCCTAGAGGACCTTAGACAGTCATTACAGGCAGCCTGAAAGCTGCGGGAGTGGCCCCAGTCGCTCCCTGGAATCACTTCGGAAGTAGTTGGAGCAAGCTGCTACTTGTGCTTACAGGTCGCTCCAGTTTGGGTCCAGCTATCAAAGTAATGTAGCATCCAATCCTACAAATCGACACCTCATACCGCAGCATCAAGCAAACTCCCTGAGTTCCCCTGATGCTGCCCAAAAAAGGTGCTTGTGGTATAAGTTTCATACCCTGCTGGGTTCATCTCGCTAGTTCTTAAAATCTTGGCATTTTCTCAGTTGCTCAACTTCAGTAGGAGTTGGCCACAGGATCCTAGGTACTGTTATGGGAGATACTTCCCCAAATCAGAATAGTACCAGTAATTCCTTTTTTACAAACCCTACATTCTACCCTTTAGGTACGTAGGACCCTTTGGGTTGGCCAACACTAGAGACCCATAAACGACCTGAGCTAGGTTGTTCTATGGTGGGGGCTCAGCCTCATCCTGAGATCGTGCTGTAGGGGCCTAAAATTACCAATGCCATTTTGGGGGTTCCTTATTATAATTATAGCATAGTGGACCCCCAAACCCTATTCTAATTATTAAGGCGCCTTTCTAATTAACTCTCTTCGCGACTCGTTGGCTCCAATGTTTTCATAGCTAAGTCGAAAGTACTGTTTCTCCCCGGACTCCATGCAATCCCCCTACACCCCAAAGCCCTGAACCAAGCCCTAAACCACCTAAGCTCGAAATCGTAGCACAGCCCCCTAAGCCCTAAATCCTAAAACCCCAAGCCCACGACAAGGGCGAGGGCCCTGCCCCGCGCGTCGAAGGCCGCGCTGACCTCGCTGAGGCGGAGTTTAGGGCTTCAAGTCTGCAAGGTTTTGTGGGGTTAGGGGTTAGGGTTTAGGGGTTTTGTAGGGCTTGCGGTTTAGGGTTTACGGGTTTAAGATTAGGATTTCGACTGGGTTTGTGCTGCTGTTGTTGAGGTTTTGATGGTCAGAGGATTCTTGGTTGAAGGCTCAGGTTTCAGGGGTTAGGGCTGGGGGCTGAACGCATTCAGTGTCAGAGGAGATCACAGCGATTTGAAGTGCAAGGGTTTTGGTATGCTCCACGGCTCAAAACTGAGCTTGATCTGCCAGAATCTTCCCTGCTAATTCTGTATTAGCAAGCATGACAGGACCCACAATAGTATGTTCGAGCAGGCTAAGGTCAGCGGGGACCTGGAAGATGTGGCGTAAGTTCAAGGACTTCCGAATTTGGGTGTTTCGGGATATCAGGTTTCCGTAAGAGTACATGTACAGCTCTGTGGCAAATGCCTGCGCCCTCGATTGTACGTTTGAATCAAAGTATAGACCCTTCCGGGTACACGGACCCTGATAATCCTAAACCTTACACCCGAAACCTTAAACCTTAGACCTTAAACCCTAAGCCTATCGGGTTTGCAACCGGGCCGGGGCGAGGTCTCGTCAGGATGAGTTTGAGGGTAGCGGACTCAGAGCTAGGCTAGGACCTCTAAACCGTCCAGGGATCTTTTGGTGTTTTCGGTTGTGGGCCATTTGGAAAGACTGTTACCGATCTTCATTCTGAACGCCAAATTCAACGACCGGCAGGGGTTGCGATTTAGGAAAGCCTGGTATATGGACCTTATTTAAAACAAAACTAAACCGTAGCCGACGCACCCCCTCTTTGCGGCAGGCCTCGCTATGTCTGGCGCAGGCTGGGGCTCTCGGAGGGAGAAGTCTGGCTTCTCGCAACCTTGGGTTCAAGGCTTCCGGTTTGTGCTAAAGCCTAAACCCTAAAACCTCTACCTTGAGTTGTGGTTAAGGGTTTATGGTTTAGGGTTGAGGGCTGCTTCAGAAACCGACAAGCTCAAAGCCGAACCCACGGCTCAGGCGTACTGCGACGAAGCAGAGGTGGGGAGCACAGTTCTTGCAGGTCATCATGCTAAGGCTTCGGGGTTTTGCAGGTTCATAGCGTAGTTAGGAGTCTGGTTCAGTGTTCATTTATGGGCTTAGCTCAGGGGTTTCAGGTGTCGAGGTCAAGGTCTACGGTGATTTTTGTTTAGTGCAGGGCCTTAAGGTGTGGGATTTGTTTAGCGAGAGGTTTATTTTCGTAGCCACCCAAAGACTCCAAGTAGGCCTAGAACCCGAACCTTGCAAATAGCAACATCGATACCCCCCAAGCCCTTTGTGTACGGTCCAAGGCCTTGAGTGACCAGGGCCGCTTCCGTGTGGCCGCAGAGGCTTCCCAGCATGCTGAGCTGTTTTTGGAGCTTCAGCGCTTTCCGTGCCAAGCACAGCAATTTCAATTTGTACTTACGCAGTCCCCTGGTCCTCCAAGTAGGGTTGCGTGCTGAGGCTTTGGGACTTTGGGGTCCAAGGCTGGGAAAGCTGGTCGAGGCATTATGTCCAGTACTCCAAACCTTAGCACTCTGAGCCTGGAGCCCTAATGAACAACCTCAACCCAAGCAGTCGTGATTTCAGTTCGCGAATTACACCCGGCATCGATGTTGGGCCTTGAAAGACTCACGACACCTTGATTGGTCAAGCCTCTACCTTACCCTCGAGCTTCATATGCCAAAGCGGCGTTTAGGCTGACCCTAGAGCTAGTGTGCTCGATTCTGTTAATACGACCTAGGTACATGGACGCTTCAGCTTGTAGGGCCGTACATTTTTTACTCAGCCAGCACCCCCATATTATATGCCACATGGGCCTCACAAATCAGTCGGCCCCAGACGAATAGACTCAAAAAGGTGTTCATCGCATGCAGGTTCTGTTAGTGCGCGAAGCATGCACTTGTACCTTGAACCCAGCAACACCCTGCTAAGCCCACAAATCCAAAAACCTCCAAGGCCTCGACGAATGAACCTCGACTTCCAACACGCCTTTTTCAGGGATTGAAGCCCCCCAGCTCTAAACCCTGAGTATGGACACCCTGCCTTTGGGCGTCCTTCCTTGGTGAGGTCTTGGACGGTGCTCTGTCTGTGCCGGCCCATGCCCGAGAGGTGTAGAAGAGTTTCGGAACTGAGGCTTAGGGTTTCGGGTTTAGGGCTGTTTTAGGGCTTGGATGGCTTCTAGGCTTCAAGTTTTTTGGCTAAGCTTTGGAGGGTCAGGATCTAGGATTTGGATGGCTCTTGACGGTGTCGCATGGGAACAAACCTTAAACAAGCCCCGAGCCCGACACTCCGTACCCTTTTTCCTACTATTTGGTTCTAATAGGGAGCCCAGAAAGAAAACGGGCAACAGGGTACTACTGGGGAACCTAGATAGGGGCTTTCATAACGGGATGAAAACTCCCAATATACTCTAAATACTATATGAGAGGCTTCAAAGAAGTTTACAGCTCACCCTTCTCATTCAGAGGCTGCTATAACATACGATATCATAGTACTATAATAAGTATACTGTAACATACCATAACTTATTCTAACTTATGATTAAGGGGCTGCTGGGGAACCGAGCCATGGGCCGCCAACTAGCCGAGGTCCTCCAGGCGCCCCGTGCGGCCGAGATCCACGGCCGGCGCGCGAAGGCCTTCCGCCAGCTGGCGGAGAGCAAGAAGAAGGTCCCGAGCAAAGGGTTCCAAAAAGGGCTACCATGAAGGTTTTATAAGGGTTACTATATGGGTTACTATAGGGGTGCCAAGAAGAAGGTCCCGAGCAAAGTTTAGGGTTTAGGGTTTTTCTACGGGTTGTTAGGTTATGACC